GTATTCACATAGCAGCTACTGCGCGTTTCTGAAAATCCCACCTCTGTATTTTGGCCCTTGCTGCTCCACCAATCACAAAGGATCTTCCTCCAGTTCTTGGCATGATGGATTCATTTTAATACTCGAGATCTGATCTTAAACATCCCTTATCAAAGAAAGCTTTCAAAGCTTTAGTAGAACTAGATTCTCTGTGTTGGTTAGTTTTAACTGTCAACTAGACACAATCTAGACACATCATCTAGGAAGAGAACTTCAGCTGAGGAACTGTCTAGATCTGGTTGGCCTTTGGGTATGGTCATGGGGAATTGTCTTGATGGCTTAAATGATGTGGGAATATCTAGTCCACTGTTTCCCTAGTGAGGAGACTCTGAACTGTATAAGGATGAAAAAAGCTGACAGAGTGTAATGAGCACGCAAGCAAGATACCAACAATGATGCGTTTATTCTGTCTCTGCTCTTGACTGTGGATGTGACCAGCTCCCTCAAGATCCTGCTGCCTTGACTTCCCCACATGACGCACTATAATCAGCAATGTGAGCTAAAATAAATGCTAAGTTGCTTTTGGTCAGGGTATGCTTTTTCACAGCAACAGAAATTAAACTAGAATACCATCCTTCACTAGTTATCTTTCCTATTCTTAATCTGTTATTATCTTTCATGACACCATCTTTTAAATTTTTCACTGTTTTGTTATTTTATTAGTTAACTTTCTGTTGATGTGATAAAACATCATGGCCATAGCAACTTATAGAAGGAAAGGTTTATTAGGCTTATGGTTCTGGAGGGATGAGTCCATCATGGCAGAGGAGGCATGGCAGGAGGCAGCTGAAGCAGAAAGCTGAGCATTCACATCTTTAAACAGACACAGAGTAGAGAGAGACAAACTGAACTCTCAAAACCTGCCCCAGGTGTTTCCTTCACCAGGGCTGTACCTCCTAAACCTCCCCAAACAGTGCCTTCAGTTGACCAAGATTTCAAATACTTGAGCCTGTGGAGGACACGTCATTCAAACCACCATAGTTATTAACTTTCTTATTTACATCATTACATTTCCACAACCTCACTGATCTCCAATCTGTTTCCAGTTTTCATTATTTGACCATAAAACCTGTGATTACAGTCGTTATTACTCTTGTTTCTTCACTATATACTGAATACTTAGCAGAATTCTTGGCTCATAGCAAGTAGTAGAAATTTTGAATTAACGACTGGACAAATGTGTTTTATAGAATCATAGTTTGAATAAAAAATTAGAGAGCCAAGTGAATGGTCTTAAAGCTGTAGAACCTTTTCTTCCAAAGAAAGTCTATATAGCGCCTCTGTGTTGATTAGACATACAGAAATCTTTTCTGATGGAAGTAGACTAGAAGGAATAGGGTCACGTTAAGGGAACAGCCACCTTTGAGGTTGTGCACAGCTCCAGCCCCTTCATTATGTGTAATGAATGTGCGAACTCTAAGATGAGCTTTTCTAGCAAGGTGAAGAAGCTCTTCAGTAGGGGCATGGGGGTGGCAGAAGGCCGGGGGCTTGAACACAGCAGTCAGGATTTCTATTTCTGTGTTTCTTTGGATAAAACAATTCAGAACAAAACCCTAACACCATAGTCACAAGAAAACGCGCAGGTACTAAGATTTAGGTATTCATTATCTCTGAATGTGACTTAATGACCCCCAACCCCAAATCTCGATCATTTCTCAAGGTTTCCAAGGAAATGCTAATTAAAACTGAAGCAGATAAAAAAGCATATTTCAATAAATCAAACTGAATTTTACCCTAAAGGAATAAAATAATCTCATTTTAATATGTTCTACTTCAGATTTCATAATTCCATATGTTTAGATCTTTTTAGATACTATGGTGGCAGAATTTTTAAAGGTGGATGACAGACCATAAGTTAGGCAGATGTTTCTTTTCTAATAGATATATGCATTTAGGCAATTGAACATTTTAGAATAGAATTTAAGCATAAAATAAGCATTTTCCCATTTTTTTGTTCAAAGAAGTGTATAGCTTGGATTTGGAATTTGTTTAATAAATATTTCCCTTGCTTTATTGTTTTCAAATTAGATCTTACTCTCAATCATCTAAGAAGGACTTCTTTTCTTGAAAAATAAAAGCTTTCTTTTACTCTCTTGTTTACTTTGTAAAAATCTGAGGTAGCATCTTTGTGACATTGCCCAAGGAACAATTTGAAAAGTGCAAAATAAATCCAACATCAGGCTGTCTGATTAAGCAATAGTTCTTTGGATCATAAAATTCTTTTGAAAAAATATTCTGCGGTATTTTTATTGTGTTTATAAGCTGAAAGGCATTTAAAATTCCAAAGAGAACAACTAAAAGCATAAAAAGGAAACACACATGTGTTGTTGCTAAAAAAAAGTACCAAAGATGTGTACTGCACAGGATTGTTCCTGGGAAAAATTATGAAGCAGATGAAATCTGTGTTTATCATTTTTCCAGGCTTTGTTTGGAGCCCTGTTCCATCTCTGCTGTCCACATCACCAGCTGTCCCACTGCATTGCCCTTCTCAGAGTCCCTGCTGTGCTGTGTTATGGCATGTTTAAGCTCTGCTCTTTTCTTTTTATTTACTTATTAGTTTTTATTTTATGTGTATGAGTGTATTGCCGGAATGTGTGTAAGTGTACCCATGTCATGCAATGCCCATGGAGGTCAGAAGAAGGCATCGGATCCCCTGGAACTGGAGTTATGGATGGCTAGCAGCCATGTGGGTGCTGGGACTCGAACCCGGGTCCGTTGCAAGAACAGTCAGTGCTTTTAACCTCTGAACCATTTCTCCACTCCCTCTTTGTTTTATGTTCTCCTTCCTTAACTCATAGGATTCTGGCAGGGAATCAAACCAGTTGTTTTTAGGAGTCCATGCTAAAGTATAACTTACCAGAGATACATATACACATGTAATTTATGAATACATATACATTAATGTATTATATTATTATATATACTATCTTATTATTATATTATTGTGTGTTAGTGTGTGTGTCTGTGTGTTGGAGATCAAACCCAGGGCCTTGTGCATTGCAGACAAATGCTTTACCCCTTAGCAACATGCCCAGACCTGAAGAACATCCATTTGTCAAGAATTTATCAGGAATCACAATTTCTTGGCACTTGTTACTTTGCTTCCTTCTGGTCTAACTCTGATGCTAATGGAAAAGAAATATATTCTCTAGAAATGATGAAAACTATCAAGAACCCCAGGAAGGCAAAGCATAGGTCCCAAACTGAACATTTGAGTGAGGCTTAGGAGATGCAGAAATTTAAGAATAAAGAGATTACTGTCAGCCCTGGCATGTACGGAATTATCTTGAGTCTAAGGTGTATTATTTTTCAGTTGCAAAATGAGGAATATATGTAAGACCACCAGGAGGATTCTTTGAGAGTAGATGAGTGAGTACATATTGCTTAATGTCTGGACCAACGATGTTTAAGATGGTTTTAGGGAGAATCCGTAAGGCTTTGTGTATGCTGTGATGGCATAAGCATCAAGCTGAGATGTCAGGGCAGAGGTGAATATCCAGTTTCTTACGATGATAGAACTGGAGGGAACAGTGTCTCAAGCTGCTAATGTTCAAGTACAGTTGATGGTTTTGGCTTATCCTCATTCCTTAAATGGCAGTTTGAAATATGCTGATGTAATCATGATTATTTGAGAACATACATTGCAGCACTGGTTTAGTTGTCACTAAATTCAGTGCTGGGAAAGTATGAGTGGTGTGATAGCCACTGAGTGCTTCATTGATGGTATTCACTGTGTTTTTCCCAATTACGTTTTCCTCTTAGTGAGGTAAACTTAACTGAGCTGAGTAGGGCAGGAGTTAGATCACAGGACATCATTGATTTGGAGGTTGAAGTCAGAGGAAGAGAGGCACGGGAAAAACACATAACAAATATTAACTTTGAAGATCACTAGTGAGTCTCCCAGCCTGCCTGCACCAAGAAGTTACGCATCCTTAGTTGCTTAGTCTTTACGGAGCCCTTATGTAGAAATACTGAAGCCCAGAAGCACCGTGGTTTATGAAAGAATGGAAGACAGAGCATGTGCTTCTGAAGAGATTTCTTCCCTAGAGATGATCTCCACAGCTCAAAAGACAACCTTGAAATCTTTAAAAGGGTGATTTCCAGAATAGAGGAGAGAAATTCTCTCTCTCTCTCTCTCTCTCTCTCTCTCTCTCTCTCTCTCTCTCTCTCTCTCCACACAAACACACAATCTCTTTTGATAACAAAGTGTGTGTGTGTGTCAGGATCATAAGTGATGACTTCCAAGAAAGGAACAGTCTCTAAAGTAAAGGAAACTTAGAGAAGTAAAGATAGAATAAACTCCCATGTTTAAAGATATTGGAAAAGAAAGAGAGATTAGTAAAGTTTTAACAGAGCAAAATGAAAGACCAAAAAACTGTGTGCGGAAGAATCAAACAAATGTCATAAGTGTTTATACAAAAGAGAAGCTCCTCTCGTTCTTTACTCACATCTTATATTTGCCTCAAAGTGAGAGAATTTGTTCACTATGACATTTAGAATTTCCCTTAAAGTAATATTATTCAGGGCCAGATATTGGTAGCTTACTGGATACTTAGAAAGACTTTTATTTCTGGAGCTAGTATAATACTTTATAACAATACTGTGAGTTCTATGAATAAAAATCCAAAATATTTACACAGACTAAATCTGAGACAACAGAAACATTCACCTCGAATGCTTTATGACAGAAATTCCAGTCTATGCTTTGTTACTCATTCAAGCCACAGTTCAAACCTCAGATACCCACTAGATATATAAGGGGGTCAAAATTCTCTCTCTCTCTCTCTCTCTCTCTCTCTCTCTCTCTCTCTACAGGGTCTCATATATCCTAGGCTGACCTCAAACTCTGTGGCCAAAGATGTCGTGTGTGTGTGTGTGTGTGTGTGCGTGCGCACACGCGCACGTGCACATGTACATATAAGCACTGAATTAATATTTGAAATGAACCCAGCAGTGCTTACCGGAAGGCCCATTTGACCTGGTTCACCCAAAGGCCCTGCAGTTCCTTGTAAGCCAATCTCTCCTTTTTCTCCATCCTCTCCAGGAAGTCCCCTTCCTCCTGGGGTCCCCTAGAACCCAATAGAAGATATTTTTTTAAAGGAATTCAGTGAATTATGTCATACTTAGTAAGCATGTTTCTGTTTGGAACACAAAAATAATTATGGCTGACCCTTTAGAGCTTTCGTTTAACATTATACGCTAGGGCTGGGCATATATATAGCTCAGTTACTAGAGTGCTTGCCTAGCACATAGAAAGTCCTGGGTTTGATTTCTAGCCCCAAATGAACTCCTGTAATGTCAGAATTCAGGAGGTCGAGGCAGGAGGAGCAGAAATTCAAAGCTATCCTCAGGTTATATTGTGAGTTTGTGGACAGCATGGGATATATGAGACTTTGTCTCAAAAAATATGTGTCGTTTACCTTTAATCCATCTTTTCCTTGGAGACCCTCTTCTCCGGGAGCTCCTGGTTCACCCTATTTCGTTTTGTAGCAGAAAATATAAGATTAATTTTTTTGACTATTTCATTTATCTTATTTTATATCTTGTTCCTAGCGTGTTTAACTTGTATTTATGTATTTCTCCTTCAACTTTAAAGAGGATTCAACAATGTAATAAGTATAGTTTAATTCGCCTTGAATAGTTCTGGAGATGACAAATTGACAGAGTCTTGCAAATTCAAATACAAAATGGTTCCAGAATACTAATACAGTTTAGATAATTAAAGGCAATACATTCATTTGGAGACTCTGGAAATTTATATGTGTTGCTGAGGAATGTAAATACTGCCATCTAATGAATTAGAGTTTATTGCTATAACGAATTTACATGGGTTAATAGAACTTGATTCAGTTATGATCATTACCAGACTGAGTTTCTATAGTTTCTCCCTTCAGAGAAGCAAAGTTTAAGCTCAAGGCACAGCAAGAGGCTGCCTTTTAGTTATGGAACTTGCAGAAATATAGACCATAGTTTATGAGGTCCAGCATTGAAACTCTTTTTTTTTTTTTGTTTGTTTTTTTTTTGTTTTTTTTTTGAGACAGGGTCTCCCTGTAGCCCCAGCTATCCTGGAACTCACTATGTAGACAAGGCTGGCCTGGAACTCAGAGAGATTGCTTGCCTCTGCCTCCCAGTTGTTTATAACTTTATAAACAACAATCTTTATAACTAAATTAAATTAAAGTGAATTAATCAGTACTTATTAATAGGTGTATCATATTTCCCATTAATGACTCTTTTATTAAGCCCACTCCACTCTTAACCACCCCCCAAAAGAAAATGCAAAGCAACAAACCGGATGCAAAAATGTGTCTCCCTACTTTGTCTTTTAGTGAACAAAGACCTTTTAAAATTGTCTGAGATAGGGCTGGAGGGATAGCTCAGCAGTTAAGAACACTGACTGCTCTTGGAGAAGACCCAGATTCGATTCCCAGCACCCACGTGGCAGCTAAAAGCATCGATAACTCCAGCTCCAGGAGATCCGATGCCCTCTTCTGACCTCCGTGGGCATTGCATGGCACGGATGCACCCATCTACATGCAGGTAATATTCTCATACACATAAAATAAATAAATAAATAAATAAATAAATAAATAAATAAAAAACTATCTTGGACATTGTTATCCTGGGAAAAGCAATTTAGTCAAAAGCTGTCTGTACTATTGTAACTCCTCTAAGCTATCAAATTACAATATAATAATTTCTTTGTATCTTATTAGCTTCACATGACTCCACGGTATTTTTTTAAAACATAAATTAAATTTCAATCTTTCACCTGCCTGACAGCGATTTGTGAATTTCTTTATCACGCTACTCTGAGTGGCAAGCATAGTGATTATGCAATTTTGGTGAGAGTGCTCCACACACCTGGCTTTGAGAAAAGGCATTTAGGATTCCAGATGCCTACCATAGAATGTAAATAGTGTTCAGTGTGCACCTTTTGAAGTTGAGAAACCAAAGACAAATATTTTGCCGTGCATCAGAGAGGTTTACTATGCTATATTTCCATGTGCTTAAGGGTGGTAAGTTTTGAGTCCCTCAAACAAGTAGGGCAGTGTATTAAACGGGTTTATTGTAGGTACTCACTCGTAACCCTGGTTCCCCAGCTGACCCAGTACTACCCGAAGGTCCAACATCTCCCTGAAGAGACAAAGGGGAAAATAAGGCATTTTTCATTAAAATTACGTGTTTAATTATGGAGTACATGTTGTCAAAGGATGGTCTTCAAAAGTACTTCCGGTTTCTATCAGCTGGTGGTCATCTGCTTCCAAGAGGGGATTTGTTTGGTGAGAGTTTAGAGATACCTTTCCCACTTATATTTTAGAGTAGTTACCTTAGCACCAGGTTCACCTTGCAGACCAGTTTCTCCCTCAATGCCTGGAGACCCCTAAAGAGAATAAGTTGACACCTTAGAAAGGTAATAACCCATCAGAAGATGGCTGTAAGGTTTAGTTCAAAGGCAAGACATCTGTGTCCGGAAGAGGCTTTTTTACTGCCTCGTTATAAACTTCTAAGCATGAGACTAGATGTTTTCTGGAATTCTCTAATAGTTCAAATGCCAAAAAGAACTTCAACTGAAACCAAGCCTTTTAAACCCATTTTTTCCCCTAATCTTTCATCTTTGAGAACTTAGAGAATGTAGTAAAATAATCTACTTCTTACTTCAAGTTTCCTACTCAAAAATACAAAAGCGTTCCCTCACCTTTAATCATCACATCATTTTATCTATGGCTCTTTGACTTCCTTAAGAACAACTAATTTTCCCATATTTTTAATAAAATATGTCACACGAACACAAGATGAATTTATCACATTAAAAAAAGAGATTTAGCACATTAAAAATGATTTTTTCCAGACTTTGTTCATGGTGAGTCCAGTTTTGCTGGGGAAACTTTTAGTTATTTTGCGGTGAAAACAACCAACTTCTTGCCATCTTTGGTTGTTTCCAAGATCTTCAGGTCTTACATTTCCCGTTACAGTCTTTTCATCTCCCAGCAACGTCTGTCTTGTTTTGGAGCTCGCTGTGTGTCCCCCTGCCCTGTCTTCCGTTATTTACTCTATTCCCTCTGTCTCTCCCTTTCTCTGATTTTCTCTCCTCCCCCTCTTTTTTCTATCTCTTACTTTTCCTCTCCTTCCCATTTCTTTTATTTCAGAAATTCCTCATTTATGCATAGCTGACACACTTTCTTATAATTATTAGAGATCAAAATAATTTTATGTTATTTCACGGTCTTTTAGATGGAAGCTCAGTTTTTCTTTTTCATTCAGCTTCTATATTCCACATTTATTTATTTATTTATTTATTCATTTATTTATTTAATTTATTTATTTTTGAGACAGGGTCTCCCTGTAGCCCCAGCTGGCCTGGAACTTATTATGTAGACAAGGCTGGTCTTGATCTCACAGAGATCTATCTGCCTCTGTCTCCAGTGTGCTGGAATTAAAGGTGTGCACCCCATGCCTAGTCACATTTACTATTTTTTAAAATAAAGTAAAATTATATAACTGAATAGAAGAGATAGACAGATATGAAAAGTTCAGTTCTACTCAGTGGAGGAAACTACTTATCTTTGTTTGTGGTTCTTTAGAGTTTACTTCTATAATTGTGAACTTAGAGGCAGATTGCCCGTTTCTGAATCTAGGATCAACTCCATACAGCTACTGCTCTTAGTTTCCTTGTCTGTAAACAAGGGGCAATAACTGTACCTACCTCATGAAGTTGTGAGAATTCATGAGTGCAGAACATGTAAATGCTGCCGGCCACATGGAAAGCAGGCTACGATGGTCAGGCATCATCACTACTGAGGATACAGTGCAAACTCAGGGTCCTCCCTCACTTGCCTTTAGTGAGGTACATTTCATCTTTCACGTGCCATTGGATAGTTTGTTTTCTGCTGTCCTCAATCATTGCTTAAAACCACGATGTTTTCCTCAAGTCATCTACAGTACTTTGAATCCTTACCATAACAGCATCTTATCTAGTCTCTTAAAAATTTCAAGCTGTGCAGTGTGATCTCTCTGTGCTTTCTTCAGGCTCATAGGATATGGCATAGTGTTGGCTATAATCGTTATTACCAGGTCAGATGGAAGTCAGCCTCTGCTATTCGTCAGCCACCTGCCTTGGGCAGATCAAGAGACCTTTGCTTCCTCACAGCCTTCTTTCCTGGACTCAGGAAAAGGCACTGCCACCTCTGCCATATAACCTAGAAAGCTGGGAATAATTTTTAACGTCTCTTCCTTCTTTTCTTTCCAAATTCCACAAATATGAAGGATCTGTAGAATTTATATAACGAATATGCTTACTGTTTTAGTGCCGTCTCCAATCATTTCAGCTCAGTAGTTCCTTCCTTCCTTCCTTCCTTCCTTCCTTCCTTCCTTCCTTCCTTCCTTCCTTCCTTCCTTCCCCTCTCTGTCTCTGTGTCTCTGTCTCTGTCTTTGTTTCTGTCTTGCTCGCTCACTCTCTCGCTCTGTATTGTGACAGGATCTCACTCTATAGGTCAGATCGACTTGGAGCTCACTATGTTTCTCAGGCTATCTTTGAACTTTCAGGAATTTTCCTGCCTTAACTTTTTGCTGGGATTATAGATATGAGCCACCAGACCCAACTTCAACATCTTTTAAAAAACATGTAGATCTGTCTTTACTTTGATCTGCTCAAAGGTACTTCTTATTCAACTTCTAGAATTAGTTTTCCAAAATAAATCTGTCATCACTGCCTTGTTCAGGCAACAAACAGCTGGGGCATGAGGGGAGTTGGTGGAGGCACAAGAGAAGGTCAGACTTTGCAGTAGAGATGAAGAGGGAAAGGTAGATTTAGCACAATAGGGGCTTACTCAAAGAGAAAAGATACCTGGAGAGAGTGAGGTGGGAGAAGGAGCTTAGCATGGCTGTCCGGGTGGGCTTGTTGGGGAGAAATAGTCAGTGATGGGGTGGAAGCAGGAAGAGTAGGAAAGTGATGGGCTTAGCTTAGATATTTTGAATTTGAGATGTTTGTGGGATATCTAGGTGGACATTAGAAAAACCAGGAAGGCAATAGCTAGTGTTCAGAGAGAGGCATGAGTTAGATCTTTTAACACAATATTGGGGATTTAAAGGGATCGTGATGGTGAAAGTAGAAGGGTAGTTTACTGTCAAGACTGAAAATGACTAATGAAAAGGTAAAGTGAAGATGCAAGAAAGAATGGCTTGACAGAGGTCAGGGAAGCAGAGAGAGGTAGGGGAACCATGCATATTTACACTAAAGTTAGCAATAGGAATAAAGTAATTGGATTTTATAATGATAACAAATCCCGTTTATTACTCCAAATTCTATGGTAAACAGGGTGACCTCAAGCCTCTTTATTTTCTGAAGGATATAGTGTCCTAGAGTGGAGAACTATCAAGTCAGTTCTAATCTGTGAAGGGAAATCTTTACTTTTTGTTCTGGCATTTGGATGAGTTAATCGTTAGAGAACTTTATATGAATGAAATTAGCTACACAAAATAATTATTTCTGCTCTTCATGAAATGTTAGGTTTTATTTTCCACATATGAAAAAAATGTTGTAATACTGTTCTTCACAAAATATACTTAATATATTAACTGCACCTTGTTTAACAAGTATTGAGTATTAAGGGACAAGAATGAACCACAGAATGTTACCTCCACACCCATTTCTCCAGGAAGTCCAGCATCACCCGGTAGTCCTCGTGGTCCCTATGTTAAAATAAAATTGAAGATCTAAGGATGAAAGTTTATTCCCTTTCAATATATGCATCTCAATATGAAATTAGTAATATGACAGACATCTTAATACATCGTGATTATCACTATATAGAAATAGAATTATATCTTCAGTTGATTCATCTGTGTTGTTTCATGAAAGATGTTAAGCTATGCTTTTATTCAAAAGAAAAAAAAAGAACAGAGTGCTGTTCACATTTTATTCGTTAATTCACTAATTTATTCAATAAACATTTATCAAATACCTAATAATTATTAATGTATTGTCCTAGCTAACTTTAACTGTCAACCTGACACAGCCTAGATTCACCCAAGAAGGAAGTCTTAATTGAAGGATTTCCAAGATCAGATTGGCTGTAGGCAGGATCCCAGGGGGTGTCTTGATCATTAATTTACACAAGAGGGCCCAGCCCTCAGTGGGCCGCACCATTCCCTGGGTGGTGGTGCTGGGCTGTACAAGAAAGCCTGTCAGCAAGCCAGCAAGCCACATTCCTCCATGATTTTTGCTTCAAGCTTCTGCTTGAATTCCGGCCCTGACTTCTCCCAATGATAGACTGTAGCCTGTCAGCTGAACTAAACCCCTCCTCTCCTAAGTTGCTTTAGGTCAGAATATTTTAATCATAGCAACAGACTGAAAGTAGAACACGTACTAAGGGCTTTCACAACTTACCTTGTTTAATGGTATGATAATAATACAGCTATTTAATAAACCTGGCAAATATGTGACAGAAATATTTTAAAGGAATAAATCTATGATTTTTTTTTCTGTCTCTACAGTTTTACCTTTCCCAGAACACCACAATGCTTGAATCATATAATACAGAGCCTTTCATATTGGCTTCTTTTTAAAACTATTTTATTATTTTTATTTTATGTGTATGCGTGTATTGCCTGTGTGTAGGTAAGTGCACCCATGTCATGCAGTGCCCATGGAGGACAGAAGAGGCTGTTGGAGCCCCTGGAACTGGAGTTACAGACAGTTGTTAGCTGTCATGTGGGAGCTGGGATTCAAACCCGGGTCTTCTGTAAGAACAACCAGTGTTCTTAACTGCTGAGCCATCTCGCCAGCCCCAGATTAGCTTCTTTTATTCAACAGTATGCATTTGAGATTTCGCAAAGAATTTTTGCTTGATAACTCATTTCTTTTTTAAAACAATTAAATTAGCTAATTAATTTTTATGTATGAGTGTCTTGTCTGCATGTATGTCATTCATGCAATGCCGGAAGAGGTCACTGGATACCCTGGAACTGGAGCTAGAGATGATTGTTAGCTGCTATGTGGCTGGGAACCTGGGGACCTGGGAACTAAACCCAGGTCCTCTGCTAGAGAAGCCAGTGCTTTTAACAACTAAGTCATCCCTCCAGGCCTGTATTCTATATCATGAGTGGGTACTGGATTTATCAAATCATTTTCCTGGATGCATGTATATGACACTGTATTTTCTTCTTTAGCCTATAAAGGTGATAGATTACATTGATTTTTCTAGTGTTAAACTACTCTTGCACACCTGGAATAAATCCTACTTGGTCATAACATATAATCCATGATGTTGGATTTGATCTCCTAATGTTTCATTGAGGAATTTTGCATTTTATATTTATGAGTGATATTGGTTTTCCTTTCCTTGTAATAGATTTGTCTGGTTTAGGTACTGGATAATTCTGGCCTCATAGAATGAGTCAGGAAGCAATCTTCTGCTTTCGTTTCCTGGTTGAGATAGTAGAAAATTAACCTCATTTGTTTGTTCATTTGTATGTGATGAGCAGTGAGAACTTCATTTCTGATGTCAGTAGTTTGTGTTTTCTTACTATTCCCTTGATTATCCTGCCCAAGGATTAATTTTATTTATTCTTTAAAAGTATTTTTATTTTTATTTTATGTGCATAAGTGTATTGCCTGCATTTATATAGGTTCACCATGGTCATGAAATGTCCACAGAGGTCAGAAGAGAGTATCAGACCCCTGGAACTGGAGTTACAGGTAGTTGTTAGCCACCATGTGCGTGCTGGGAATCGAACCTGGGTCCTCTGCAAGAGCAACCAGTGCTCTTAACCACTGAATCATCTCTCCAGCCCCTTATTTACTTTTGTTTTTAATTGATTTTTTTCTCTATTATTTCCAAGCTTTTTATTGTTATTATTTATTCTGCTTGCTCTATATTTAATTTGCTCTTCTTTCTAAGGTGGAAGCTTAGATTATTGCTTTGAGATCTTTCTTCTAATATTTCTTCTAATATTTATCTTACAAATTTCCTTCTAATTACTATTTTTAATTTTTCTATTCTTTGGAAAATTTCATCTATATGTACAATATATTTTGATCGTAGCTACTCTCATTACTTTCCTCTAGCTCCTCCTGGAACCCCAACATGTCTCCCTCTTAATTTATGTCCTCTATCACTTTAAAAATTAATAATCCATTGAGTCCAATTAGTGGTGTGGGGCTATTCACTGGGTATGGGTAGCCTATCAGAAGTCATACCCCCAAAGAAAAGTGATTTCTCCTCCCCCAGCAACCATCAACTTCCCATAGCTCTTTAGCTAGGGGTGTGGCTTAAGGAACCTCTCCCCTAACCACAATAGAATTTTGACTGGTTTGATTTTGTTCAGATAACCACAGCAGCTAGTAAGGTGTATTTTCATTTTCATTTAATTAAAATAATAAAAAATTCTCCTGATATTAAAAATATTAATTATTATTAGTGTGTGTATGATATGTGTAAATGTGTGGTGGTCCCTACATGCCACAGTGTACATGTGGAGGTCAGAGGACAACCTGCAGGAGTCAGTCTTCTTCCACTGTGGGTTCCAAGAATGGAACTCAAGTTGTCAGGCTTACAAATGTTTCTACCTGCTGAGGCATCTTATCAGACTGAGACTTTTTTTTGATCAGTATATTATTATTATTATTATTATTATTATTATTATTATTGAGACAGAGTCTCCCTATACAGCCCTGACTTGCTCGGAGCTTACTATGTAGAGCAGGCTATCTTTGAACAGCAATTTTCCTGCCTCTGCCTCTTGATTACTGACATTACAGAGGTGTGCCACCGCACACAATTTTAAGACTTATCTTAAAAAGGTGATGCATGCCTTTAATTCTAGTACTCAGGAAGCAGAGGCAGATGGATCTCTGTGAGTCTGAGGATACCTTGGTCTACATAGCAAATCCAGGCCAGCAGGTGCTACATAGTGAGACCCTGTCTGAAAAACAAAAACCAAAAGAAACAGTGTGAGAGTATCATATCACTTTATTTCAGAGGTGTATAAAAAAGGAAGCGACTTGACTAAGACCCCTGGTGGGAATTTTTTTTAGAAGTATAAAGGCTAGATTATAGGGAGTCTCCCTATAGCTCTAGCTGGCCTGGAACTCACTATGTAAACCAGGCTGGCCTTGAACTCACAGAGATCCATCTGCCTCTGCCTAACGAGTGCGGGGATTAAAGGCGTGCGCCACCACGCCCGGCTTAACATATATGTACCCTGTTGTTGGATAAAGGGTTGTTTTTCTTTTGCTCTCCACAGAAATTTACTTTATTTGTTAAATTATGGTCTACAGTTCTCGGTTTTCATTACATTTACAATAGGTCATGTCCCTAGGTTCTCTTGCACTACAAAAATAAGCACAGCCTAACGAGAAGTATGGGGGACCTAAGGGACCAAAAGAGGTCCAAGATGAATGGGTCCTAAATAAGCCCCTCAAAGACCCTGCACACTCAAATCTCTGCATCTCACAGCTAGTGTGGGCTTAGCTGGGCTTGACAGCAAGGGAACTCTGAGTTTACCCACTGAGAGATGTCCCTGTCTGCTCTTCACATCAGTGCAAGGAAGTAGAAATACTTAAGAGGATGAGAAAGCAGAAATAGTGTATTTGATCAAAGTGAAGACAAGGCTGATACCTGTTCATCCAGGCAAACCACATGTCAGACTACTGAATTAATTTGCCTTTGATTTTTGACAATCTGTCTCAACACATAGCAGCCAATGTCCTTTCTGAGCAACATAGTATTTGCTGTGTGTGCCTCAGATACCTGTTGCTGAGTGTGTTTTCGTCAACTGTTGTATGTATGCACACAGGCTCTGTAGACCCCAGGTTGAGTCCCATTCACTGTTGACTGTTCTTCCTCTCTGTGCTGAGGTTGGCCATATACTGTCAAGGGCAGAATACACTGCATGAGTCATATTTGTGCCAAGCCACTGACCTTGCCTCTAAGACTGTTATTATCTATTTATTTATTTATTTTTTCTTGAGGTGAATATGTCAAGAGTGGTTTTGTGAGAACACAGTGTGCTGGTTTTTCCTTTCCTTAACCTTGAAAGCCACTACTGGTTCAGGTTGCAGACTTTCTTAGCAAATCAACCCAAAAAGCAGGGTTTGGCTTGAAATCAGATATGGCCAAAAATAAACTCTAAGTTTCAAAATATTGCTAAAACAATTTGTTTTTCATCTTTATATATATCAATTCTCTGACTAACATCTATGTTTTGTTCATGGGCTCTGAATCTGATTTTAATTTGTAACAGAATTCATGTTTTGGTTACAGAAGAGGAAGTGGTCAGTCCAAAGGTAGAGGAAGTGGTCAGCCCAAAGGTATCCAGGAGATGGGGTTAACATTTGACTCCATGTCCCTCTGACCTGTGCCCACTCTAGTTAGGAATGAAAATGCTCAGCTGTTGTTCATTAAGATACAGTGGAGCAGGTAAGAGGTCTTGGTCTAGCTCACTGACATTCTGGGAACTGCAAACCTAATTACTGTCTTAATTCATGGCTCTCCTTTGGCTGTATTTTACATTCCTGCCTCACAATGATCTGAGTTTGAACAGAATATAGTTCTTCACCTTTACCCTTAAGCTTAACTATGCACTTGCCTTAGCCAAGGAATGTTAGTGGAGGCAATGGGCTTGAAATGTGTCTGGGTCACTTGTTATCTTTCACTTTGTCATTAGAGTCAAAGAACATTCTCTGGCCC